ATATATATATATATATATATAGAGAGAGAGAGAGAGAGAGAGAGAAAGCAAAAAAGGTCAAAATCCAGTCTGACCACCAAACAACCAAACAGACCACACAACCTTCCAAAATGCTCCCACCAAATTCCAAAGCCATGCCCTAGCAGCACTTCCTGAATGAGTCCAGATGTCTGACCAGGTTCCATTGGTAGAATATAGGGTGAGGGATGTCAGCCTGAACTGGATTGGATTACTGGCCATGACATAATGTGGAGAACTCATAGGAGCACTGCCCTCCAGGTCAGCACTGATAGAAATAGTTGCAGCAAAGGAACCTAAAACCTAGGCATGGGCAGGAGAGACGAACAGACCTATGACTCAAGGATTTGGTGGCAAAGATGGTTCGTGAAGAAGGTGGGATGTGGGTTGGAAGCTCTGTCCCACCACTTCCGAGTGAATGAAGACATAGAAATCTTCATGCTGAGTGGCCCTTATTGCAGCTGCAGCTGCTTCCACATAGTTGCTGTAGTCAAAAAGGAGCCCAGAGTCAGTTTCCTTGACCGTCACCATTCCGTTTGCTATAACTGATCTGTAACATTTTGGGAAAATACAGTTCCATGGAAAAAAGAAATAGAAAAAGAGAAGAAATCTCCAAGCTGGATGTTGGGTCTGCTGCATTCCCGGGTATGACATGGAAGCTGCTGTTCCCCTAAAACATGCCCCTTCCCTCCTGCTCATGAAGCTGCCACGTAACTGTCCCTGTCAACCCATGTGTGCCTCTTTCTCCAATGCCATAGCCATCTGCTTTCTAGTTCCTCTCCCACATTACCTCAGTGTGGCATTAGTGGCCTCTTAGCAGGTCTCAAGTCTACTCTGACAACAGAAATCAGGAATGAACAGAAGGGGGTGATTAACTCCTCTGCTTAAGAGCCTACAGAGATGACCTGCTGCCTAACAAAACGTCCACTCCTGCACCTGGCCTACACAAGCCTCACACCCCAGCCTTCTCTCAGCAGGCTTTCTGACTGTACATGCTCACTCTTCAGGGGTAAGATGTGTGTCTTCTTCCCAGAACACTCTTCCCCTGCTCAAATCCTCCAATGTACCTGCCATGCCCACGGCCATGACAGAGGGCACTGCCTGTTCCCATGCTCTGCTGCGAAGGTGGGCCTGGCAGCCTTGTGTGGGCACCATGACCCAACTCATGCCTGGCGCCACCTGAGCAGGAGTAAGGGTGGGTGGGCACACTGTACACTGCCCTTTGGAATGCTCTGACAAGGGCTTAGGTCACATGCTCATTCCTGGGAATGTGGATAAGAAATATCAAAGCCAATGAGCAGAGAAAGCAGACCCTAAACAGATGCTCAGCAGGGCCGTGGTATAGAGAAAGGGCAGGTGGGGCTTAAAGTTATGAGGGTGCCAGAACCAAGCATCAGCAGAAGCTGGGACATAGGTAGAGAAAGGACACAAAGAAGGAGGGCAAGGAAGGCTGTGACAGCCTAAAGACAAGTGGACAGTAAAGCAAACTTAATGTAACTGGGGCAAGGCCTGTTAACAGCAGAACAAACATGAACAGCCAAGAACTCCCACCCCTACAGACCAGTGGGCCACTCCTTGGCTCTCACTTCTTAGATTCCCATGAAAACCACAACCCCTCTTCCTTTTCAAGAAAACCTAAGTGGGAAAGGAGAGTTCCTACTCCCTAAACCTAGAAAGGCCTTAGGACAAAGGGAGAGGGCATATGAGCGCCATGTAACCCATAGAGTGACCCTTCAACTGGTTTGTACTAAGTGTGCTAGCCTATCCCCCATCTCTTTCCCCTTGCTTCTTTCTGTATGCTTGAAATTGATTTAATAAACCAAGTGATTTGAGCATCTTAAAAAATATGAATCTTGGCTGGGGGTATTGGCTCACACCCATAATCCCAGCACTTTGGGAGGCCAAGACAGGCAGATCACTTGACTCCAGACCA